GCTATTAGCGTCGGTGAAAAAAGCTCCACCCAGACCAACATAGTGTGAAAAGCATAAGCTGCAATGCAGGTATGTTTTAATACCTCATCTCAGAAGACAATCCCAGCTCATATTTGAATACAAATGCCCAGAAAGTTAATAACATCACCATGAAATTGATACATGGTCCTCACAATCAAAAGTCTGACACAAATAAATCCTTATTTTATGTACCCTAATCCTCCACAAGGGAGTTCCTTTTATGTAGCAACCGATAGAAAGTGAAAGTGAAAATTTTGGACCCCTCCCTTATTGCCATGAAAAACAGCGTGGCGGAAAGGGCCTTCAAGTGGGAGAAGACTAACATTTGCCAAGCTCAACACCTGAACAAGATCATCTTCTTTTGGCGCAAGTGTTGCTCATTTTCTCGTAGAGAATGGTGTAGTTTGAGCTGCTTACATTCCTAAAATAGCAGAATTTATCACCATTATAGCAATAGGTTTGTTGTGTACTCACCAATCCGCTGACTATCAAGTTACCCTTTACAAGCATATATACCTGCCCATTCTGCAAGTTTTTGAGAGAGCTGACCGACAGCAATAACCCATCATCAGAAGCCTCAATCTTTTTCTCGTTAAAACCCAATGTTAGATTAGCTAGCAAAATATAAGTTCCATTTCCTTGATCCACAAAATCTGAGTACATGTAAAAGGGAAACCGTTTATATGATTTGATATAGCAAACAGAAGAAGATAACATCGTGGCATAGACACTATCTGATGAGACATAGAATAATTTTCAAAGTATGAACTCAGACAAGGAGGTCTGACAAGATATGCAGAGTTCAGAGGACCGGAGCCGGAGCTCCTCCCAAACGAGGCAATAACGGAAATGATAAGGGAACAGTTGGATGTTAGCAGGAACCCTACAAGCGGCAAAGAGTCATATTCAAGGCACAAAACCTTCAACCAACAAAGATACTCTCCAAAAATTAAGGAGGAATCCACGGATGGAAGGCTAGAATCTCGACAGAGATCCCACAGATCAAGGAACAGCTCTATAAATACTGTGTAATACCTCCAATAAAAGGGCGAGAAAAACTGGATATAATAGAAGAAATTTTGTAAGACAAATCATAGAAGAAATTCTGTAAGACAAATCCTCCGTGAACAAAGACAAAAGGAGCAAGAATCTCCATTGAAGAGTTGATTAGCCGAGCTCCCGAACTGGTGAACCACTATATTTTCTCTGTGTAAATCACCCCAATCCCTGAAGTTATTGACCTTGATCCTGAGCGCTTAGTAGCTCAGGCTGAAGCACCTAGTAGCACAGGCCCGAGTTGCAAAGCACAATTTCAACCTTCTGTTCGTCCATGTTAACATTCACCAACACTATCATTGAAATCAATCACCTGATTAACAATCTGCATTTTTCAATCATTCCCAATCACCATGAAGTTACTGTAATTGAATTCTTGAGTTGACTTGGTAGTGATCTTATCATGGGATGACTTGACCCATCCAGTAGACCATAAGGACCGACTAACCCTGGTCAAAAATGTTCCATCCAGACCTGTAAAATTGGATATCAAAGAAACAAGAAGAGGCAACATACTTTGACTCAAAAGCTTTCCTTTTGTTCTATCGCTCTTTCTGTCCAACCAAATATGCAAATTTGCATCTATGTACCATACATTCAAAGCATTTGTGACACTAAATCCAATTTTGTGTGCCTTTCCATCTAATATAGTTCCTAATAATGGGGTAATCTCAAATATCATATGAAGGAGGGGATTGAGCCATCCAGTGTAGATCACAGTGAAAGGCCAAACTACACCAACTACTCTGCCATCCAAACTTGCCACAACCTCCCTAAAAGGTCCGTTCCCCGGCGCACCAGTAAGATTATTCCCCGCAATGTACTCATTAGGATAATTTCATACCAAAATTCATCTTTTTCATGAAATGAAACATAAACCTCCAACACTGCCCTGTAAGCATTTTGGGGAATTTTGAACTCCTTTGACTCTATATCAGTGGAATTCAAGATTTTAAACCATAACCCATCATTCAATGGCAAATTTCTTGAAATGGGTAAGATCAGTGTGCGTGCAAGATCCTGCACAATATAAAAAACGAGAACAGATCTCTCCCTTGGTGAACTCGAGTGAACCGGTTGAGTGACCAGACACACTGCTTGGAACAGCCTGCGAGGTCCGGTGGTAACCTGGAACGGCAATGGGAGACCCTGGGGGAACGGAAGAACGATCCAGTAAGGCTGAAAGAGGTTCCTGGAACAAAGAAGAACAAATTAGAAGGGCGCCGGAGTGTTTTTCGGCGTATCCCCTCCGACGATCTAGTCAGTCTTTTAGAGAGAGAGAGGAAGGAGAAAACACTGAGTGAGTATTGTAGTAAATAGTTTTTTGTTGCATACCCGTCTTGCCTTTTACAAAGAGTATTTATACCTCAAAATCTCATGATTGCTGTCAGTGTAGTCAGTAGGTGATCATTAGGTACAGGCAGTGTGCGCACTGATTCTGATGAGGAATGTCTTCTCTTCTTAACTGCTCGGGGTCCCGAGCAATCAATGCTGGGTCATCGGGATGCCGACGGTACAATATACTCCTCTCGGGGAGGATGCAATAAATGCTCTGTATTAGGAGCATTTATTGCCTTTCATTTCCGAGCCTTACCGCATTGAATGCGGTCTCATCAAGGGAATGGTGTAATTAATAGTTTGCTTTCCCAAGTCGCGTGTCAGCAATGGCATGCGGTTTCTCTGTCTTTGATGTGATATCATATGCCACGCGTCCATCCCCCATTGGCTGTGGCCCCTGCATTCCAGTACGTTCTGACACTAATTGTGTAAGACGAGGTCATGATGAATAGCCTAGACTAGCCTAGGCTAATGACCTGTACGTCAATAGCTTATCCTGGAGTAGAGGAGGCGTCCAGGACGGGGTACACCTCGGCACCGAGGAAAGGCTCATCTCGGAACCGAGGGAGGGATACCGACCGAGGTACCATATCAGACCGAGGCTACGTGTTGGTTGTAAAACGTACTGAATGCCATGATCCTATATGACGAGTACCTCGGGGGCGAGGACCTTTATGCGCCGATGGTGCTTGATCTTAGCAACAGTGTTTTGGTAATACCGAGGACACGTGTCTTCATCATGGAGCATTTCAGAAAAGTCTCATCAACTGCCCCCCAGCCTTCGAGCTTCTGACACCGAGGACACACNGATGTAATTAATAGTTTGCTTTCCCAAGTCGCGTGTCAACAACGGCATGCGGTTTCTCTGTTTTTGATGTGATATTATATGCCACGCGTCCATCCCTTATTGACTGTGACTCCTGCATTCCAGTACGTTCTGACACTAATTGTGTAAGACGAGGTCATGATGAATAGCCTAGACTAGCCTAGGCTAATGACCTGTACGTCAATAGCTTATCCTGGAGTAGAGGAAGCGTCCAGGACGGGGTACCTCTCGGCACCGAGGAAAGGCTCATCTCGGAACCGAGGGAGGTATACCGACCGAGGTACCATATCAGACCGAGGTTACGTGTTGGTTGTAACTCGTACTGAAATGCCATGATCCTATATGACGAGTACCTCGGGGGCGAGGACCTTTATGCGCCGATGGTGCTTGATCTTAGTAACAGTGTTTTGGTAAATACCGAGGACACGTGTCTTCATCATGGAGTATTTCAGAAAAGTCCCATCAACTGCCCCCCAGCCTTCGATCTTCTGACACCGAGGGCACGCGTCGTAAGGAGACGAAGGGTTTCCCAACAACCACCAATGCTTCATCATTGCCTCGAGCCGCTTTCTCCGGTTTGGGATGTCGTGCGCATTAAATGCGCCGTTTCGTTTTTCGCACCTAATGATGAAATTGCCTCTATATNATTTCCGAGCCTTACCGCATTGAATGCGGTCTCATCAAGGGAATGGTGTAATTAATAGTTTGCTTTCCCAAGTCGCGTGTCAACAACGGCATGCGGTTTCTCTGCTTTTGATGTGATATCATATGCCACGCGTCCATCCCTCATTGGCTGTGGCCCCTGCATTCCAGTACGTTCTGACACTAATTGTGTAAGACGAGGTCATGATGAATAGCCTAGACTAGCCTAGGCTAATGACCTGTACGTCAATAGCTTATCCTGGAGTAGAGGAAGCGTCCAGGACGGGGTACCTCTCGGCACCGAGGAAAGGCTCATCTCGGAACCGAGGGAGGTATACCGACCGAGGTACCATATCAGACCGAGGTTACGTGTTGGTTGTAACTCGTACTGAAATGCCATGATCCTATATGACGAGTACCTCGGGGGCGAGGACCTTTATGCGCCGATGGTGCTTGATCTTAGCAACAGTGTTTTGGTAAATACCGAGGACACGTGTCTTCATCATGGAGTATTTCAGAAAAGTCCCATCAACTGCCCCCCAGCCTTCGATCTTCTGACACCGAGGGCACGCGTCGTAAGGAGACGAAGGGTTTCCCAACAACCACAAATGCTTCATCATTGCCTCGAGCCGCTTTCCCCGGCTTAGGATGTCGTGTGCATTAAATGCGCCGTTTCGTTTTTCGCGCCCAATGATGAAACAGCCACTATATAAATGGGGTTCCTCTTGCATTTTCTTGTTTCGCCATTCCGAACTTCCTCAAGAGAGCCTCTTCTTGAATCTTCGCCGGAGATTTCTTTCTTCTTCCTTCGTCGATTGCCCATTCTTCCTTAAACTCTTAAAGCCNCATGACGAGTACCTCGGGGGCGAGGACCTTTATGCGCCGATAATACTTGATCTTAGCAACAGTGTTTTGATAATACCGAGAACACGTGTCTTCATCATGGAGCATTTCAGAAAAATNCATGACGAGTACCTCGGGGGCGAGGACCTTTATGCGCCGATAATACTTGATCTTAGTAACAGTGTTTTGGTAATACCGAGAACACGTGTCTTCATTATGGAGCATTTCAGAAAAATCTCATCAATCAGATCAGCCCCAGAACCATACCCAGAATCTAAATTCCCCAAATTTGGCTTGTAATGACTGCCATTTCTTCAACAGGATAAAAGTAAATAGTGATGTTTACATGGTACACTCCAGTGTAAGTATTACTAATAAGATTACCCAGATAAGCAGCAAGTGTTTGATGGGTCATGAGCAGAGAACAATACCTTGAAATGTCCTTCTGAACAGTCCAAACAATTCCAGTAGCTCTGGGCTCCGCCGTGCAGCTTCTAAAAATCTCAACACCGCCGAGCCAAACCCCAAAAATGCGGTCAAATTGCCTAGCTTTACATGTTGCTTTCCATTCAAAGACGATCTTCCCAAAGTTTTGTGATGCGCAATGTGAAGGGGGTTTGTAGTTCGCAAGCACTGGTGGCTTTCCATAGGTGTAGCCAAAGTCATGCTGCAGGATGTGGCATGAGCAAGGTTTGGTTTTGGGGACTTCGATGGGTTTGGTGACTTCAAAGAAGGTAGTGGGTGGGGTGACAGTGAAGGGTTTGGGCTCAGAGATGAGCTCTGATCTGAAGAGGGTTGTTCTGTGGAGATTTGCAGTGGAAGAGTGTGGTTGTTGGAGGGAGTGAGAGAAGAGAGGAAAAGCCATGAAAGGTGGTTGTGCTGTTACTTTTTGTTTTGTTAGAGTTGTATTTAACTGTCTTGGAGTGGAAAACAATAGTGGAAATCGACAAGGTGGGATTTGAGAGAATTTGTCTAAGAGAAGTGGAATGACTTAGTTTCTTTTTGGAAAAAAAGAGTTAATTATAAATTGTACCTTAAAAAATTATTCAAATTTTAATTTGAATCCTCAAAGATCAAAAATTTTAATTTGTACCCTCAAATATATAAACTTGTATTAATACGTACTTGAAACTAATAATCATCCGTTTGACATCTAAAATTAAAAAAAATTCGTCCATCTCCGGTCCACTCCCGCTAACAGGTATAATTTTCATCCTCATTATCGTCCACGGGTAAATTTTTAATTCCCGCCCCCGTCCCCGCTTCCCCCGTACCCGTCCAAGCCCAAGCCAACATAATTAAAAATTTTAAATAAATTCAACATTTTAAATAATCCAACACTATTCTAAATAATCTAACACAACATAATGGAGCATAATATATTCCAACATAACACAAACAATAAATGTCCAACATAATACTTGAATTTAATATAATTCAACAGTACACAACATAACACAAACAACGTAATGGAAAAACTTTTCTGCGATGTAGATTTACACTTGTAATTTAATAAAATTGATTGACAAAATTGATTGTATTTAATAAAATTGATTTAATAAATCTTTCAAAGTTTTCAGAACCTGAATCCATCTCCGGTGGAAATCTTACAAAGTTTCTAGAGTGACTGCATCACCATAGATGCTACTGTGAAGAGGAAAGAAGTAATACACGATAGTATCAGAAATGTCACTTAAGATCATAGCAAAGTTTTCAAAGTTTCCATTAGCAAAACTAACCAAACAAACAACATCTAAATGAAGAAGACTGAAATATCATGTACACTATGCTATGATGCACTAAATAAGCTCACTTAAAATGGCCGAAACATTCAAAACATTTTCGTTTTTAAAGAGACCAAAAAAAAGTAATGATTGAATCAAAATTTTGATACTTCAAGGTGTTTCGACTTTCGAGGTATTTCAGAATATTTTGAAAGCTGTGTGTTTGCATGTATTCCGAAATGTTTAAATATATTTAAACTAGTGCTTTGAAATGTTATGAAAACAAATTCTTAAATTTTTTAACCATTTTTATTATATTTTCGAAACATTTCCAAAACACGAAACAACTACGATAATCCAAAAATTCCAATCACATTGCTTTTTGAGAACAAAAAGTACTACTAACTTAAATAATATATTAGCATTCATAAAATCGAAGTCATGCATAAAATTAACCTTTCTATGCTGACAAACTTGTATGATCATACGAAAAGAAATTGCATTTACATCACATGGACAGATGATTAAACAAATCTCCTTTATTAGGATTTGAACCATTATAAAACCCAAAAACAGAGCATAGTACGAGAAATCACAAAACAGAGATTAAAACTTTCCATATTAACGAAGAACACAAAAACCCATTAACGAAGCAATGTGAAAATTTAATCAACCCACTTCGATATGAAGTCTATGATTACATATTTCTGGACAGAAAGTTATAGCAAACCATTTGAATTAGTTCTATAGTGATTGATGGCGTAAACTGAAATGGATGAGCAGAGGATATGGATTATGCTTGTCGACTTGGATCTGAGCTACTAGGCTCGTGAGGATTGTGCTTAGAATTACTAGGGGATTAGGGTGATGTGCACAACAAAAATATAGTGGTTCACCAGCTCAGGAGCTCGGCTAATTCACTCTTCAATGGAGGCTTTTTCTCATTTTTTCTTTATTCGTGGAGGATTTAACTTACAAAGTTTCTTCTATGATATCCCCTATTTTTCTTGGCTCTCAAGGAGGCAATGTATAGTATTTATAGCACAATTTGTATCACTAGGAGATCTTCAGCGAGATCTTTGCTCGTTAACCACAGAATTTTCCTTGATTTTATGAGGAGATCTTGGGTGGTTTAGAGTTTCATGCCTTGATCACTGCCTATTTGCTGTTTTTGTGGACGCTTCTTGCTATCTAGTTGTTCTTTCCTTGACTTCTCTGGTCTTTCATCGGAGGGGAGCTCGGGACTTGGGCTTCAAGGCACTGTGCTCATTGCCCGACCTGGCTTCCCGAGCTTATACTTAACAAAAATTCTTTATTCATGCATCATCAGTGATAAAACTCAAAACAGAGGAAAGTACCAGAGAACCCATAAATTGTTTTGGCCTATTTTGTAAACTTCGAGAGAGAGAGATGTGATGAGCTTCACAAACTGTGAGAGAGAGAGAGGACTGACCTGTGACTATGAGGCTATGAGGACTAAGGAGCAGTCATCGTTGAGAAACAACTTGTGATTGTGAGGACGGAGGCGAGTGGCTAATAGAGGAGAGTAAGATTGGGTTTAAATGAGAGTATATATATATATATATATATAACGGGTATAGCGGGGATGGGGCGGGGCGGGGTAAGGGTAAGTNTGGCTAATAGAGGAGAGTAAGATTGGGTTTAAATGAGAGTATATATATATATATACTCTCATTTAAACCCAATCTTACTCTCCATCCCCGCACAAGTTTATATGGGTATCCCCGTATACGTCCACCGTTTAATACGTATAGTCTATCCCCAGTCTAAACGAGACGGGTTTGGACAAATACTCATTTTTTTCCGGTCTACTGTCGTCCCTAACGAGAGATCATGTGTTACACGTGCACAAACATCAAGATGTATAGGAATAATATTTTAAATGTGAGGGGTCTAAATAATTAAGTGATAAACTTGAGGGGTCTAGGTGTAACTTACCCAACTAATTTTAGACGGCAAACTAATGGTCGTTAGCTTTATATGCGTATTGATACAAATTTATATATTTTAAAGTACAAATTGAAATTTTTTATCTTTGAGAATATAAATTGAAATTCAAAAGTGTTGGAATCTATTTCATGGGACCCACATGTAGACCTTAATTAACAAGGTGCAGAATTGAATTTTGGGATAAGGATATCCTAATTAAAGACCTAACAAATATTGGTTAGATTAGTAGGTAGTTTCCTTAGGAAAGTAGTGTTCTAGGTACAAGGAAACATGTTTAATAAACAGTCAATTTCCTGACAATTACCTTGATGAAAGGAAACTGTTACTGATTATTTTAACGTGGGACAGTTGGTTACCAGTGAGGGAGATATAAATTGTCTGAGAGACTCCATATCTTATTCACGCTTACAGTATCTCTCACTTTCTAGAAAAATATATCTACAATCTACTGTGAATTAAGTTCAAGATTATAATCAGAATTCTTGATTTTTTTTCTCGTGGAGATTTCTGCTGCATATCTCTATTAAGAATTGTTATTATGCATCTCATGAGTCAAGATTAGTTTTCTATTTGATTCGTTTAAGATCATTAGGTCTATCAATTGGTATCAGAGTTTAATCACGATATTTGGTTCTTAAAATTTATTTTATTCATATGATCAAATCTACGAGAAGTAAATTTTATGAGTTATCGAATTTTTGTAATTCCCGTTATCAGAATTGTGCAAAAATATTTCGATAAAGATATTTTGTCTTTGCTGGTTGTCATCATTCACGTGTGGCCCCGTCCATTAATTGTTGTCGTAGGATGCAATATCAATTCTGTTGCTTGATCTCTGTGTGCAATTGAATGCAGGTGAACTATTACTGTACAAAAGCACGAAAGCATGGTGAATAGTTATTATTTTATTGTTAAATTTTTTGGTGTGGCGTATAATATTTTGTCAATTGAATATATTATTAAATATCAAATACTTATTGAATAGATATTTTAATGGGTATGATGCAAGCGTAAACCAATGTTTTTTGACGGTATATTTGCCCTATGTGATGATTTTGTGCCACTATTTTGATGGCATTTTGGCCATGAAAAATTTATCCGAATTCAATTTTAAGCTAAATTTAATTATTTTAATTACTTCATTCATATGGATAAAATTATTTGTTCATATGTCATGATTCAGAATATTTTATACAAAATGACGAGTCAAAACATCTTGTATATGAAAACTTATGTTTGATAAAATTATATTTATTTTCATTTTATGGTAACGAGCCAAAAACATCCCATAATTTTAAAATATAAGAAAATTTATCAATAAAGAAATTTGTGTTTGTCGATGACATTAAACACTTGCACCATATTAAATAATGGTTTTACCCCAAAGCAAAGCTATTATATTATAAGTGATTGGTGGGATGAAAGAATGGTTTGAGATATTGTAGTTAAGTTGAATTCTTGTTGCCCAAAAATCTTGAATTCTACTTTTCTATGATGTTTATGCCGTTAGTTTCATCGGTTAGGTAAATCATTATAATGTTGTATAAAGTGATTTACCACTAAAATTACTAATATGGATTAGTAAATTGGATAAAGTTTAAGTGATTATTAGCATGCATATTAATTGTAAGCAAATGTTTTATTTTGCAGCTTTACTTCCTAGCCTTATGGCTCAATTTGCATCTCATATCTCTTTGCTTAATGGTTCAAATTTTTCAAAATGGAAAGATGGAATTATCTTTACTTTGGGATGCATGGAGATTGACACGGCTCTTTGTGAGGATAGGTCACTTATCCCTACGAAATTCAGTATGCTTGAGGAGAAAAAGTTGCATGAGAAGTGGGAGAGGTCTAACTGCCTTTGTCTCCTATTATGCAAAGTTATACCTCAAGGAAAATCAGAGGCTCCATTCTAGACTCCAAAAGTGCTAAAAAATTCATAACTGTAGTTAAGGAGAAATTTGTGAGCTCTGAAAAGGCACTTACTAGCACCCTGATATTAAAGTTTGCTTCGTTGAAATATAAAGGTCACAGTGACATACGCAAGCACATTATGGAATTACATGACATTTTTGTCCAACTCAAATCACTAGAAGTTAACATGTCAGAGACATTTCTTGTCCACTTTGTTCTTAACACTCTACCTTCGAAATATGCTCCATTCAAGATC